CCCCCTTTTTTTTTTTCCCCCTGGTTTCTTTTTTTTTTTTCCTCTCTTCCTTAACACCACTCGTCCTTCTCCGACGTCGATGCACCTCGACAGGGATTCATCCTTCAGGAGCAAAATCCGGGGAAGAAACGGCAAATTTATGCCTGAATTGACACTCTGGGCTCATGATATTACGGATTCTATTTCTGGAAAACCGCGGTTGTGGTCGAACGGACAGAGGACACTGGGGCGATGATGGCTCTTCAGCTTATGTACAGTGCAGGTGACATCAGCTATCAACAGTCTCGCCCTGTCGACCCAACCACCCCAATTGCGAAGATATGTACGAAATCCTTCGTATATGTACGGAATACCTGTATGCACCATGCACGGGCAGAGTGCGGGGCAGCTGGTGGTCAATGGGGGAGGGCCAGAGCAGGGGTTCTGATGTTCTGATGCGTCTCAGATCCGCCTCATTGGCCCAGAGACGAGAAGAGCTTGAAGGAGAAGGAAAACGACAAGTCCCGTTTCCTCTATCTATCCTATCGTCTTTTCTTTCCCTTCACGCTCAGCCCAGTACCGCATCCAATTGTGGTTTTGAATTGCGTCTTTCTTAGACCTTTGACCGACGTGCAGCTAGCCGGTTCGCATTGGGCCTTTTCTTTTACATCCTCATACGGTCAATCCTGTTCCGCCAAAAAAAAAAAAAAAAGAAGAAGAAATTGAGAATTTACAGGACGCCGCGGCAGTAAGAGTAAAGGTTCCTCGGCGAAGCCGGTGCATGTGGTAGGTAGCCGCACGGAGAGCCAAGCCGGGACAGGGGAGGTGCGCCGAGATGGACGACTACATGTTCAAGTACTTCGTGGGGGAATGTAGGGAGGTCAAGGAAGCGACGAGCTATCTTGAGATTCTCAATTATTCGGTGGGTCGCTAACTTCCACCATTGAAGATACGGACAGAGCGCAGTGAGGCGGAGTTCATAACATGATGGGCAGTGGCTGACGTGAATGAGCACTGGAAAGGATGCGTCCTACAACTCGGTAGAGGAGCATCCACTGACACCAGATGAGTTTGAGAACTTTCTCAACGAGAGGGTATGCCGCTGTTTATCTCCCAAAAGTTACGTCCCTTTAGAAGAACCAGAATGCCAACCGCAATGACAGGGCGCCTTTGCTCCTCCCCAGACGAAACCGGGCACGACTCGTCTGAGTGCTACCCGGCTAGTGTGAGAACACCTCCCCTTCTTCATTCGACGACAACCTTATGGCGGACTATCCACTAAACTAAACTACGCGATAGACTCCAAAAGAATGCCAAGGACAAGGACACGTTTACGCCGTTTTTCATTTCGTTCCCTCGTACCACATACGAGACCATGGTGCGGACGATGAAGCTGCCCTTCCGCGCCATCGAGGGAACGAGCGTAGTCGGACCGTTCTTCTGGTGTGCCTTTGACCAGGACGACGAGGATCCCCATCTCCGTCTGTCACTGTCCTTTTTTTTTTTTTTTTCGTTTTTCGCCTACCATCCCAGCCGACAGTTACTGACCTAATTTTTTTTTCTTTTTTCTCCTCCTAACAGAGATCATCTTTCGCAAGTCAGATGTCCGCAAGAAGGGCAAGACGCGCGGATGGGAAATCATGCTCTCGCACGGCATAAAGACGGGCCTGACGACGGGCTACATCAAGGGGACGCCGTCCTCGGACATAGTCGAGTCCATCTCGCACCTCAAGGCCTGCGCGGCGCAGGTCGGCCACCCGCTGCTCCTGCCGGTCATCATCCTCTCGTACGACCTGTCGCCGCGCAACGACCAGAAGCAGCGCGACGCGCGCGAGTGGCTGCGGCGGCTGGAGCACGCGGTGAGCATGCGCGACGAGATCGAGGAGAAGGACGGCTACGTCCGCGACGACGGCGTCATGGAGGTCGACGCCATCAGCCGCGACTTGGTCGAGTGCCACTCCCAGGTGCTGTGGAAGCGGCCGCAGGCGTACCGGGAGGTGGTGCGCTCGATCGAGGTGGCCATGGAGCGGTTCTGGGAGGGCCTGCCGGAGGAGCGGAAGACGGGGCCCGAGGGGGAGTTGTTGTCCAAGCTGCATCGGAGCATGCTGGGACGGCTGGAGTTTTACACGGCCAAGCTGAAGGGGATTGAGAATTACCAGGCGACGACGTTGGAAAGGCTTACCATTCAGAGGAGTGCGGTGAGTTTTTTTTTTTTTTTTTTTTCTCTTCTCTTCTCTTCTCTCTTTTTTCTTCCCCCTTCCCTCGACGGGGGTGACGGTGATGGGTAGCTAACGAAAAACCCCGATTAGCTGTATAACCTGCTATCGCAGCGAGAGTCGAAGATCCAGTTCCAGATGGCCGGTGAGCAGCGGCGGCTAGCGCACGCAAGCAAGCGAGACAGCACGGCCATGAAGATGATTTCGCTGCTCGGCGTGCTATTCCTACCCGGGACGTTCCTGTCGTCGGTGTTCAGCATGACCTTTTTCGACTTTGAACCAGGTGGGTGGATAGAAGACAGAAGAAAGACTAAACAACAGAAAGAGGAAAAGAGACGACTGACAAATATGAGAAAACAACAGGCGCGGAACCGATGGTATCGACACAGCTATGGGTGTACTTCGCCATCACGGTGCCGCTGACGGTGATCATCCTCTTTGGATGGTTGCAGTTTGATAGGAAAAAAGAGGAAAAGTTCAGGGAGCAGGACGCCGACTTGGAGAAGAACATTGAGCACATGGAGGCGGACATCATGGCGATGATGCGGAAACGGACGATGAGCAAGGCCAATACGTGGACGTCGATTACCTCGCCGGTGAAGGCGTAAAAGGGGCCCGAATAGCACATACACACACACACACACGAGCCAGCCCATTGCTCAACGATACGATTGTACGACTGAATGACGAAATGAACGAACGACTGTAAACGACCACCGCAGCATGGCCGAAAAGAAAAGAAAAGGGGAAACAGAAGGAGAAGGAGGACGAATTGAACTGGCCAAGTCGAAATAGACTCAAGGTACCTATTGGGCTGACAGACCACGTACCTTATGTTAGGTACCTTGAGTACCTTGCCTTACCTTGTGTACGGTAGAGCAATACAGGACCTTACAGAATAGACGGGATAGGCATCATAATTCATCTTCACGATGGCATCAAAGGTCCCACAAGAGTTGACTTGCCGTCTCTTCCCCGCTCCTACCTTATCCTCCCACTACCTAAGGTAACGCAAGGTACCAACCTAGGTAAGGTAGGTAGGTACAGCAGGTAACACGGAGGACTCTACCCCATAAGGTACCAAAGCAGTACCTCACTCAACCACCAATGGCACCTACCTGCGTTGGTACTGTACTAGTTAGTATAGCACCCCCTTCCTGCTTCCCCCCTATTTCACGGATGATTGGTGGTGATAGCTTCTTCGACATCCCCCTCCCCCTCCTCCCTCCTCTCATCTTTGGGTTCGCATTGCCACGTCTTCAGGGCCCTAGAGTCCTCCTTCTTACGCTTTCCGCCTCTACTTTGACCCGTAAAAAAGGAAAAGAACATTAGATTCTTGTCTTGTCTTTTTTTCTGCTCAGCGGCCATCATTCGCAACTCCTTGAACTCCTTTAAACCCGTGCCAGATTCCCAGGCAAAAAAAAGCCAGTGAACATGACCCAAAGCACAACGACAAGCCCCGCCGCCGTCCCTGGCCGTCAGGTCGGCGGGGGTGCCAGCGAATCCCAACGTGCCATCGCCTCTCTCAACCCTTCCTCCGTCCTACCTCACCTGACCAAAATCTTCAAGGCCCATGCCAACAAGGAGACCGGGAAATGGCACAAGGCCGAGATCACTTCGTTCATCCAAACCAGTCAAGGCCACGCCGGCGACCTCGAAGCTGCTCTCCTGTCTGGTCACCTCGCCATTGCGTCCCGGGACGAAATCGACCTCGACGGTTTTCTTGAATACATGACCTCATCTGCTTCCGCTTTGACTGCTCCCCCTAAAGAAGAAGACCTCTCCTGGCCTCTGCACAGCTACTTCATCAGCTCCAGCCACAACACTTACTTGACGGGGAACCAGCTGTCCAGCGACTCCAGCACAGATGCCTACAAGAACGTCCTGCTCCGTGGCTGTCGCTGTATCGAAGTCGACGTCTGGGATGGAGATGGCACGGACGCGAGCGACTCGGAGAGCTCCGACAGCGACAGTGATGATGATGATAACGCCCGTAGCAATGACGAGAGAACTGAGAGCCCCGGACAGAAGAAGAGCAAGCTGAAAAGGCTCCGTAACAAGGTGTCCAGCTCGCTCCCTGGGCGCCGTCGGGGCAAAGCTGCCGAAACGTCGCCAACTGGTCAGAGTCATGACGCCCCCGCTGCAGACGTAAGTACTACCACTACACCCTTGGCGACAGTCTTCAGCTCACCCCATGGCCTCCAGGAGACTGCCTCACCTCGAGCCGCCATCGTCGAGCCGCGTGTTCTGCACGGTTACACCCTCACCAAGGAAATCTCCTTCCGGGACGTCTGTACTACCGTCCGAGACTATGCCTTTGCCGTCACCGATACCCCTCTCGTCGTCAGCCTCGAGGTCCACTGCAGCCCGGCCCAGCAGGACGCCATGGTGAAGATCATGGAGGACACATGGGCAGGGCTGCTCGTCCCCGTGCCCGAAAACGAACCTACGGCATTGCCGCAGCCTGGTCAACTGAAGGGCAAAATCATTGTCAAGGTCAAGTACGCGCCGCCGACCGGATCCGCCGCTGACGATGACGACGACGACGGCGGCGGCGGCGGCGATAAAGAGGACAGGGCGCCACAAAATGCTAAACAGGCGAAGCCGCCCAAGATCACCCAAAACCTTAGTCGTCTCGGCTTCTACTGCCGCGGGGTCACGTTTAAGAGCTTCGCCCAGCCCGAGGCCACCATGCCGACTCACATTTTCTCCTTGTCCGAGCAAAAGGTCATCGACATGTACGAGAAAGTAGGCCGAACCCTGCTGGACCACAACCGGAACTACCTCATGAGGACGTACCCCTCTGGTTTACGAATCCGTTCCTCCAATCTTGACCCTGCGCCGTTTTGGCGGAAGGGAATTCAAGTCGTCGCCCTGAACTGGCAGAAGTGGGATGAGGGCATGATGCTCAACGAGGGCATGTTCGCCGGCACGCACGGCTATGTCCTGAAGCCTGAAGGTAAGTTCCCAAGTTTCCAACTTCCGGAAGGCAGCCATCTCACTGCCATGAAAGTTACCTCGCCATGAAAGTCGGCCCGCTAACACGTTGGGGGGGGAAACACAGGTCTAAGAGGCGATAGGGGTCCCGGCGACTCAACCTCCGAACTTTTAATTCCACGCAAGACACTCCAGCTCGAGATCAACGTCCTCGCCGCCCAGAACATCCCCCTCCCGCCGGGCGACGACAACGCCAAGGGGTTCAAGCCCTACGTCAAGATCGAGCTCCACGTCGAAGGGCCCGAGGAGCACATCAAGGGCGACGGACACGAGCGGGAGGGCGAGTACAAGGCCCGGACCAGGACGAAGCGCGGTTGCGATCCGGACTTTGGCGGCGAGGCGCTCCCGTTCCTTGCCATCCCCGGCGTCGTCGAGGAGCTCGCCTTTGTGAGGTTCACGGTCCGCGACGACGAGATTGGCAGGGATGACCTCGCTGCCTGGGCGTGCGTGAGGCTGGATCGGCTTCGCTCCGGGTATCGGTTTGTGCATCTTCTGGATTGCGAGGGACGCGTTACCGAGGGGGTTATCCTCGTCAGGGTTACCAAGGTGGTTACCGAGTAAGGTGGTGTGGGTAGACTAGACGTCTGGGATGAGCTCTGTCCTTCCGGGGGGGGGGGGGGGGGGCAGGAGTAACAGCAGCAGCCATTGTTCTTTTGGCTTTTCTCATATTCAAGGGCATCAAGAGCGGAAAGAGGAGCGCATAATGGTAGCATAGCGTATGATGTTAATGGGTACTATTCATTCGAGGCCGCTTCGCGTGGTTACGGGGATCGCAGCCACCATTTCCTTCTTATTCAATACACAAACACGTACCGGGACAACAAATACGAAGCGAGATTGGAGCCGGGGAAGTGTAAGTGAGTAAATGCTTCAATTTGTGACATTGATGCCCGGGCCAGAGAACATCTTCAAATGGCCCTTTATTTTTCTTTTCTCTACCTTGCCATACTACCGGCGATACCATTCGCATTTCCAGGACCAAACGCATGTAACAAGAAAAACGCCTCGTAAGCCTCCGACAGATATACCCTTAACATCCAAAGTAGACCTAGCTAGTGAGAATCTTGACGAGCTCCTTCACGATGGCGTCGCCCACCTCGACGGTACTTGTGGAACCGCCGATGTCCTTGGTGCGCAGGCCGGCGTCGAGAACGTTCTTGACGGCGTCCTCGACGGCCTGGGCCTCCTTGGGGAGGTTGAGGGAGTACCGGAGCATCATGGCGACGGAGAGGATGGTGCCGATGGGGTTGACGATGCCCTGGCCGGAGATGTCGGGGGCGGAGCCTGTGGAGGGTGGGGAATTAAATCCGTCAGCAAAGAAGAACCCGGCACACAGAACAGGGCGGGAGCGGTCTGGGGCTAAGAGGAAGGAGGGTTAAAAAAACCAAAAAAAAAAAAAAACTCACCGTGAATAGGCTCGTAGATGCCGTTACACCGGCCCTTGCCATCAGGAATACCGCTCAGACTGGCCGAAGGCAACAGGCCAATGCTGCCGGGAATGACGCTAGCCTCATCGGAAATGATGTCACCGAAAAGGTTGCTGGTAACGATAACGCCGTTCAGGGCGCGCGGGCTCTTGACCATAAGCATGGCAGCCGAGTCGATCAGCTGGTGCTTGAGCTCGAGGGAAGGGAACTCGGCGGCGAAGATCTCGGAAGTGACCTTGCGCCAGAGGCGGCTGGTGGCGAGGACGTTGGCCTTGTCGAGGCTCCAGGCGGTCTTGTCGCCGCGGGCGAGGGCGAGGGAGCCGGCGAGGCGGGCGATGCGCTCGATCTCGGGCCGCGAGTAGGGCTCCGTGTCGAGGGCGTGGCCGTCGCCCGTGTCCTCCTTGCGGTCGCCGAAGTAGATGCCGCCGGTGAGCTCGCGGACCACCACGAAGTCGACGCCGCGGCAGATCTCGGGCTTGAGCGGGGAGAAGTCGACGAGGGCGTCGGAGGCGAAGTTGCAGGGCCGCAGGTTGCCGTAGGCGCCGAGTTCCTTGCGGAGCTTGAGCAGGCCTTGTTCCGGGCGGACGGCGCCGGTGCCCCATTCGGGGCCGCCGATGGCGCCGAGGAGGATGGCGGAGGCGGATTTGGCGGCGTTTAGGGCCTCGTCTGTCAGGGGCGAGCCGGTGGCGTTGATGGAGGCCTGGTAAGTGGGCGAGAGTGGTAAGCGTTGTGGACCTTATGTTTGTTTTTCTTTCCTTCTTTCTCGGGACGGGACAGGGGGAAGGGATGGAGAGACGAGGGATAATGGCTTACACCACCCAGGAGGTGCTCCTGAAGATTGAACTTTCCAGCGGACGGGCTGTGAGCCTCGACAGCCTTGAGAACCTGCACACCAGTGTAAGTAAGTAGAAGGAAGGCTTTGGTGAAGAGTCGTGGAGCGTCATTGATTCCAGGGAGAATACACCACACACCTTGATTCCCTCAGCCACAACCTCGGGACCACAGTGGTCGCCGGCAAAGACCACAATATCATGTGTTGTCGCCATGTTGATGTTCAGGTAGGCTCCAAATTACAAATTACCCTTCAACGCCAAATACGAGCAAAAGAAGAACCTTGTTGAGAAAAGAAGGTGCTGGATGGAGCTTGAGGTCGGTTGAAAACAAAAACACGGGAAGGGAAAGGTGAAGGGAAAGTTCAATGGAACATCCGATCGGCGAAGTAAACGGTCCGTCCTCAACAACATCCGTAGCCCGGCACTGGGTACCTGTACCTGTACCTTACTTCCCTATTCTTCGCCTATTCTTCCCACCCAGAAGCTTCGAACGAGGGGCAGCTGGGCACCGATATCCAATTTCCCAATAATCGCCCCACAATCAACTACCCCGCAATTCCGACATCGGCCCTAGAACTCTCTGCCCCTCCTTTACCGAGCCGGCTTTGTCATCATCAGATACTTGCCTTATTGGGTAAATAAGGTAGCTTCGACAGTCAGGCGGCGGGAAGCAACCGAGACCTCCATGCCTAAGGTATCGTTATGTCCATGTCATGCCTGTATTCTGAGTACTTCCGTGGAAAGCTCTATCCGTACGTAATACGGAGTACAGAGTACAGAGTTGAGCTGCAGAGACAACCTAAAGCCAGGCACCTAATCCAGTCTCTGGCCACCTTAGGGGTATGGGTATCATGTGTCCGTTCTTCTCAAAAGTATCTCATAAGTATTTGCCAAACCTCTCTATCCCCTCCATATCAATTCAAATGCTCTCATATCTTCATTTCAGCATCTCTTTTTGTCTTCTTTTTCTTTTGTCTTCTTTTTCTTTTCTTTCACCTGCTCGTCATCCGTCTCCGCTGTCTCCCCTCCTTCGAAGACACGGCCTGAACATGGCAACGTCCGCAGAATAAATCAAACCCCCGTCCCCCAGGAAACCCGCCCATCCATCATATCCAGTCCATGCATGGTATTTCGTTATCCTTCTTCCGTGCCTTTCTTTTTCCCCGCCGCGGCATCCACCTTCATCGGAACGACTTGAACGACTTGTGAGCCAACGGAGAGGCGCCTCCACCGTGAGCCACATCTCTCCCGCTCTCCCGCAACTGAATCCCCCGGGCATTCGGCGTATTGGCGCAGAAGGCACAGATATACACGCTGGGAAGCATCCGGCGCGACGTGATTCTGATGCATTGCCCGTGGAGCCACATCTCGCACGACTCGCTGCAGTGATACACGAGTTAGTTTTGCGAAACCTTGGTCGGGTTGGGATATTTTCTTTTTTGGTTAAAAAAAAAAAAAAAAAAAGGTAGAGAACAGGGAGAGAGGGAAACATACCATTGCACCATGAACCCGTCTCCGTCACGATTGCCACCATTCCGCTGGCATACGCACCGAATACGCCGTCCCCGCGCCTCCGTCGAAGGGGTCGGGAGGCTCCCGTCCGTGAACGACGTCGGCGACGCCGCCACCGGTCCCGCCATGCCCCCAAAGCTTCTGCCCATCCGACCCTGGCCCCGTTCCCGTTGCTGCTGATGTTTCCCAGAGATCCCCGATCCCGGTCCCGATACGCGCTTCTGCCGGTTCTCTCTAAGCCTGCGCAGCTCGTTCGCCGCATCATCACTTCCGCCGCGCTCCATCCCATTCATCACCGTCTCCGCCTCGCTCTCCGCGTCGTTGCCCGCTCCTCTGTCGACCCCGGCCCCGCCGGCCATGTACGAGCTCGTGCTGCGGTCGCTGACACTCCGCTGCGACGACGTGTGATACCCGGCTCGGGTCGGCTTGTGCGGGTCCGGCAGCGCAAACGACGTGTTCCGGCTGGGGAGGATGATGGGCTCGTCGTCCGTCGACTCCTCCTCGTCCCCCGAATCGAAGCTCCGTGCGCGCACCGACGCCGCCTCCCGGGACGACCTCCTGCTGCTGCACTGCATGCTGCTCGCCTCCGACCCTGGACCGGTCGTCTCGCCGTCTACGACCACCGTTGTTTCGGCTCGGGCTCGGCCGTCTGCGTCGATGGTGAACCTGACCAATGTCCGAGCGCGTGGCGGAGGTGCCTCCGGGATAGACGTCAGGCTCGACAGCTGGAACTGGTTCTTCAGAGGCGACGTTCGACCCGATGGTCTCGTGCTCGGCGGCCGGCTGTTCACCCCCCTGGACGAGGAGGAGCTGCTTGCGACGGCTGGCGTCGGTTGGGCCGGGGGTGCCAGAGACGGTGGCTGGTTCCGTGCCAGGCTTCGTTTGCCCCTGTTCTCGCTCAGGCTCCTCTGCAGTCCCGGCCGGCTACTGGATTTCATGGGCGAACTGGCCAGGCTGCGGTCCGGAACCCGGGTTGCCGGTCGTTCCCTCGTGCTGGAGGACCGGCGCAAGTCGTTCCGCACGGGTGCCTTGGACAGGGCTTGTGCCACGGCTTCCATGGAGAACTGTGCCCCTCGGTCCACTTGAGTCGTCGGTAAGCTGATGTCCATGCTCGAAGACTGGGGTCGGCTGAAAAGCAACCCTGGGTCCACGCCGGTCCCCGGGCTCATGAGATTGAACCGATTGTCAATGGGACCGGGATGCACGGCTGAGGAGGACATCGAAGGTCCTGCGGTAGAGGTTGGCTTCGATTCAGTTTGGGACAACGACGTCTTGGGAGCCAATGGCCGGGGTTTCCTGACAGCCCGTGGCTTTTTTTTGGGTTGCTGCTGCTGGGGCGGCTGTTGTCTTGGCATTTGGCTCGTTTGCTGCTGCGGCTCCTGAGGTAGGGTCTCCATATCCTGGAACATTTGGTTGGCATCAAACGAGCCTGTGGGCCGGTGGCCGAGCGTGGGCATCTGGAAGGCATCAACGCCGAATGAAAAGTCAATGTCCATCCCCGACATGTCGGCTCCCGGATCCCAAAAGCTGGAGGGCGCGGCGGCCGGCGCGGACATGGGGTAGCCGAAGAAGTCGGACGTGGATACGTAGCCGGCCACGTTGGGTTGCTGGGGCGTCTCCGCCGCAAAGTCCGGCTGGCCGTAGCCATTGTCATTTTGCATGTTGCCTACTTCGAGCTTCGGCCTGGAATTTCGCCCTCTCTTGTGGGACGAGGGAGGGGGCGTCGCTGTTTGGCCCTGTGCTTCTTTTTCCTCGGGATGAACACGAACACCTCCTTCGGGTCCTTGTTTCGTCTTTGTGACTGATCTTCTCGTCTTTGAGGGGTTGTTACCCTGCTGCTCTGAGCCGTTATCTTCGGTTCCCGAAAACTCGTGCGGCCCGGTCACCGGCCCCGGCGAAGAGGGCAACACGCGGGAAGAATTGACGGGCGACTGGGAGAGGTTCGGATTCGAGTAAAGGTGCGTGTCATGGGCTGCAGTGATCCTTCCTCCTGTCGATGGCTGCCTCTTATGGACGCCCGCGGCGGCTCGGAAGTCGGGTCCTTTGGGAGTAGTGAATTCAGCAAACGGACTGTGGGAGGCCTGGAGATTGCCCGGCGTAGTATTGAAGACGGAGTATTCTTCGGCAAAGAGAGGCGTCCAGCCACCCGGCTCATTAAAGGGACCTTGCCGATTCTTGGGGGTCTTGAAGACAGGGCTCGGGAGGTGGGCAGACGTCGGTGTCCGTTTCGGAGTCGGTGGTAGAGCGTTTGGATCTCCAAAGCTGTTTTGTTGGAAGGAATACGGTTAGCCGAGACATTTGCTTGGGGGAATTGGCAGCTGTGGCAGCTGTTCGTTGCGAATAACCCCAACCAAAGGTCACCCCGTTAGATGGTAAAAAAAAAGGGGGGGGGGGCCTTGCCTGGATGCCTGTTGATCCCCACTCATATCAGATTTCTTCTCGATGTCGTCTCAGAAGACCTCAGCGCTACCATGACAGAACGAAAGGACTACACAGACTGTGGTATTCCCAAGTTCGAAGAGGGTCTCGACGAGGGACGGAATTGGTCGTTCGGGTGGACGACCAGATATTGTACTACAGTAATCTGCAATCCGAATGGTCAAGAACCTTTCCTGACGGCAGATAAGAATAATTCTTTTCCACCTCTACTTGTCGTGACAATGGGGGCGAGTTCAGAGCCGGCACATGTCGCTGATCGTCACAAATATGTATATGTACTTCGAGGTCGTTATATCGTTTGATTTATTGTATGCAGGGTCTGCGGTCAAAGAGGCGGAAGCCAAAAGGGAGTGAGCACTTCCGAATAGTGACGGTGGAGGGACTGACGGACAAGAAGAAGTAGAGGCAATGGTGAATGGAAACGAAAGATAAAACATACGGGAGAGTCTGTGTATGGGGGGAAAGGGGGGGGGGGTGCAACCATGGAAACTGTACGGAGAACGGGTAGACAAGCTTGCTTACCTCTAGTTTGGTTGGTGATAACTATCAAGGCAATAGGACAGGGGAGAAATAACCGGGAGAATACTTCAAAGGACCAATAGGTAGCTCGGAACGCTCAGTTGCATCTGACTGGACTGGAAAGGAAGAAAAAAAAAAGGTCGAGTCCCGTTGAATGCAGAGAGTCCAGTCCGAAGAGACGCAGGTCCCTCCCTAGTTTGGGAAATTGGACCTGAATTTCTTTTTCCTCGTACTGTATTCAACACGGAGCAAACCGCCAAGGACGAGCGAGAGTCGGATTAGAGACGGTAAAACCGTTCCGCGAGGAGAATAAAACCGTAGCTCAAGGTAGTCACCACATATATAGGCGTAGGCGTTCTTCTTGTGTCCAGGGCTCGCTATCCCTCGCACTCAGCTCTTCCCCCGGAGTGAAGGCGGGATGCAAAATCGACCCTCTGACCGGTTGCCCTGTTGAGATTCTATACAACAGAATGCAAGAACTGACGAGAGCAAGACAGGACAAGACAAGACGTAATAGGCCAAGCCAAGGAGAGAGAGGGAGTAAAAGGAAGGAGAAGGAAAAAAGTAAAAAAAAAAAAAAAAAAAAAAGGTAAAAGGACGATTAAAAAAAAAGAAAGACGGAAAATTGCTTGAAGGGATGGCAGGAAGAGGAAGCAAAACTGTCTCCCGGAGCAATATGCAGCAACTGGGGATACAGCGTGGAGCCGCCTGTCAGGATTTGAATGAAGTAAGGTAGGGGGTCCAGGCACCAACGGTGAACTAGTACTTCGTACATACTACGGATAATTACCATAGGTCAGGTGGCTGGACACTTTCGCAGTTACGGAGTATAAGGTACTTCGCAGTTAGAATACATAAGGTAACGTAGTGCAACGTCCACTAAATTGCAGCGTGGCGGCCAGGTATGGAACAGGATTCGGCATCCAACGGCTACCCACAGCCACAACCTTGAAGTACCTTAGTGTAGGTACTTCGTATGATCCGTAATTAATAAGGTACTTCGTCACCAACCATTCTCAAAACCAACACCGAAGGTCCTCGAAAAGTTTTATCTGAAGCCCGAGGTAGCCGACAAAGCTCCCATGATGGGGCTCTTCCTAAGGTATTGTTGTTGGCGGGGCTCAGACGGAAGACCGAATAACCACTTCACTTCCCGCATGAACGAATTCCTTATCACTGCTTACAGGTAGGTGCCTTGGACAGATATGGCTCTTCGGTGTCTTACTAAGATACGCAAACGTCTCTCATCGTATACGATGCTGTCGGGGAGGATAAACGCATCCTCTTATACAGCCGCAGAGCATTCCACGATCCTTCTATCCCGCAAGCTTGATACTACCATCGAGCTCACATCACAATGGACACGAACGGTAGGCTTATACAATTCAAACGACTGAGCCCATCAGTGTCTGCAGGGTCATATATGGGTATCTTAAGTATATGTATACATTGTATTATGGTTTACGTTGATTAGCCATGGCAGGGGGAAGCTGAGTATAACAGAAAAGTAGTGACGCCGATAGACTAATATAAAGAGTGAGTGAAATAAAAGTAACACACGCTGTAAAAAAAGAAAGGGTAGTCAGACCAGCTGACGTCTCTGTGAAGACTCAGAAACCCCCACAGATAGGATAGATGAACGTCTAAACCAAAAGGGGAGAAGAAAAAGCCAGATGACTTTGTGAAGAGAGGGGGGAGACAGGGGAAAGAAGCAGAAAAGAAGGAACAAAATGAAAAGGAAAAGAAAATACGAAAAAGAAAAAGAAAAACGCCCATAATGGCTGTGATGGCTGTGATGGCTGTGATGGCTATGGTGGGTATCATGGGTAAGATGGGTATGGTAAAGTCTATAGTCCTCCCTCCCCGTCACCATGACAGGATATCTCACCGTATTCATGCGAGTCGCCTGCATTCCCCCGTCTATTAGTTATCCCATTCCATAATCATCATGTCGGAGTAACGTCGAAGGAGTTTTTTTCTTTTTTCTTTTTTCGTTCGTGACGGCATGGCAAATACTGTATCAGCGACGCGTGGGAGTTGCGTGCGCCTGTTTCATAGATAGTAGAAAAGATGCGACAAGAGAAAAGCCAAAGAAAGGACAAGTGAGAAAATTGGAATGAGTTCATGTTCGAACCCGAGTGTGTCCTAGATCATGTTCGGCATCGTCTCGTAGGGACTCGACGTCGGGTTTCGCATGCGGTGTTCGTCGGCCTGCTGCGGTGTCGGTCGTGCTGCAGACGGGAAAAGCCCTCCCTGTCGATACACTTGCGCCGAGGCCGGAGTGTCCGTTCCAGAGACGGTGGCAGGCGTCATCTGCGGCGTCATGGGTGCTCGGGGTTGAGGCTTCGTCCGACCACCACCGTTGGCGACGGGACGCCGACGCTTAACCGCGTCCTTGTTCTTGCCGCACTGGAAAAGCTAGTTAGCAAAATCGCCACGTCGTTCCGGTGGTCCGGTCATGCTTACCTTGCTCCAGTGCCGGAACCAAGTGATGCCCTGCTTCTTGGTGCCCACGAGCGGAACCCAGTCGCTGCAACTGCTGCAGAACCCCTCCCAGGCGTCCGGGTCGCCCATCACCCGCCGCGTCTGCTGAGGTTCCGGGAACGGGCTGCCCGTCGGCGCGCTGATGCCGTGGCTGAACGTCTTGTCGTACCAGTACGCCGAGTTTTTGAGGACCAGCCAGCGACCGGGCCTGCAGATCCCGCACCATCCCTCGCGCTTCTGGCCGTGTCCGCGGACCCACCTCGGCGTGTAGAGGTCGCCTTCGAATCGGGGCTGCTGCTCGCGCGGTATCATGTCCTTGTCCTCCGGGTTCATGTCTTCGGGCGGCGGCGGCACATGCTCCTCTCGCAGGGAGGCATACATATCAGGAGGATCAGACGAGCCCATATAATGCCCATGCAGGGCGTGAGGCTCGGCGTTGCTTGAAAGCATGGGGAAATGGCCGTAAAACCCCGTGTCGGCATGGAACCCGTGGAAAGGGGCGTGAGCCTGCGTGGGGAGCACCATTGGTGCGTGGTACTGCTGCTGCGGTTCAGGGGTGGAAAAGAAAGACTGCTCCTGCGCGGCCTGTGGGTTTGCGTAGCTCAGGGGAACAGGACATAGAACTTGTTGGTCTTGAATAGTGGGGGAAGAATGCCTAGATGACGTGCTTTGACGGGCGTCGAAAACATCCTGGCTTGGGTTGTAGACAAAAGGAGTCGTTGTTCGTCGCTGAGACGTCGTCCCATAGCAGCCAGTAGACCACCGCTTGTTCCCTATATTGTAAGGGGCCGACCGTGCACTGGGACGGGGGTTCGGTGTCACACGTCCGCGGCTGAGCGTCCGCACTAGGTCAGTTCGACTCTGCGGCGTCATGCGCGGAGATGCCACGGGAGAGAGCTGTATCGAAGAAACCAGGGAATTCCGATTCGAAGACGGGAGCGTGTAGTCGGAGCTCAGGGATGGCGCATCCGATGCGGCTGCGGATGCATCGTCGCCCAAGTCGTACGAAAGGATGTCGGATAGCCCACCCGGGGTGGAAACGGTAAACGAGGAGCCAGAAATGGGGCGGCGGTTGAACCCCCCATCGAAATGTGTCGAAGAATCTTCATGCGACGGGCCGACATAGTTTGGGCCTGGCATGGTCACCGCCGTGTCGGTCGTATATGCCTGACCGATACTCATGTCTGTTTCCACTACCGGGATCTCATAATGGTCTTCGCACGGTTTTTGGCCATAGGCTGGCTGGCGTGTTAGCTTTGGTAAAAGGACAAAGATCGGTCCACTGAGGGATTGCAGACCTGGCTTACTCTTGTTCATTGTATTAAACGAATAAATATCTTGTTGGTGATCAGATCCAGGCCCCGACATGGCGTTGTTTGCGCTCGGCGTCTGTCGCTGATGCCTAAATGGCCAAGGTATCACGGCTTCATACCAAGGCTCTGAATTGTCATTTTCTTCCCCGGTGGTGAACGAGGATCCATCGTAAACGGTTGCAGGACGAGGGACTGCCCGTTGTGAGGCCGGTGTCGTCCACTGGTGCTCGTACAGAGGTAAACTGTCTGATGGTATCGGAATCTCGTTGTCGTTCATGGTGAAGACGGGGGTTGGACAATTCCTGGCCATTCTGAAGGGATTGGTAGGCTGGCTGGCTTGAGATGAAAACCGGTCGGCGGCGTAATAGAGCCGTGACGGTGTAAGCGGTGGGAAGGCCTGTATTGGATCCGAGACTCAAGAGGCGACACGAATTGGTATGCCGGTGTTAAAAGTCTGAGAAAGAAACAAGGGAAAACAGAGGCAAATAGACCGTAGTAAGGAATGGAGAATTAGTTTAAACGCAGGTGTATCTCGTGTAAGAGAAAAGAGCGAGGCGAACTGTATCCGGGAAAGCCGCAGTCAAAGAAGAGAGCCAGCTCCCGACAACAGTATCGAAAGACGAGTGAAGGAGAGACGTTACTAGAAGGAAGGGAAGTAAGGAGTGGATAGGATATGCAATCAAAGATATGAGAAGGAGCGACTAGAAAAACACACCGGTGGTTGATGATACGAGACAGCCCTGTAGTAGTGAAGGAAGGCGGGAAGAAAGCGGAAGAGAACAGAGGGAGAGGAGGGGAACGGGAGGGGCACCGGCCTCTCCAGAGGGGCCCCGAAGATATTAAAAGAAGAAATGGAGCAAAATGGGGCCTGTCTTGTCAAGAAGGCACCCACGACTTTCGTCTGTGGGCGGGCGGGCTAAATCGCTCGGCACACGCACTTCGCCTCGGGACACATCGGCAGGGGGTGAGCCGGATGTCTCTCTGATACAAAAGCCCATCGTACGGTACGTCTGGCGACGGTAGGGGAAAGAAACGTGTGGATTCCTGTTGCCCAGACCCTAAGACGAGGAGTGACACGGATGAAGCGGGCAGAGTGGGATAGGCAGCATCAGTTTGTCGAGTCCAGTCGACAATAGTGGAGGGTGCGGGTTGCGTGGGCTAGCGCAAGCGATACCGATGAAGCAGGGACAGGACAGACCCAGACCCACTACGTCTGCTTCGGGAAATGGGTGGACCAGGGGTGTTTGTGTATGGAGGGGTAGGTGTGTAAGTGAGGGAGCGTGGACGTCTGGTATTCTGGGGGAGATGGGGGAGTCGAGACGAAAGGGCCGCTTGGTTGAATTTTTCAGAATGGCTGCGCCACGATACGGGCGACATCTTGATTTTATCCGTGATAGTTATTCCCCTAGCAATCGAGGGGAAAGTCGCAGGGTAGGGATGGGTATTCGGAGCACAGCCACTGACACCCCCCGCGGTTCGCTAACGACTGATGTAGATATAGAGTAGAGGAGAAGAATCAGGAAGTGAGAGTAAGAGTTTGGGATGTAGCCCAGACTCTTGACACGTGACTTCGCCAGTCGAAGACGAACGATGTAGTCAAGGCCGACTACATTGGCCTTAAGCGGCAGTGAACTGTTTTAGGGCCGTTGCACGTAGCAGTAAAACCCAGGGGTTGGGGCTGAGCGATCGATCGTATGATGAAAGCCGTCATGTGCAGCTAAGGCCAGGAGATGCCTTGGTACCGATCGAGTTGAGGCGGAAACCAGTAGCACACAATTCAGCCATGACCCAGAAGAAACAGAATAACAGAGAAACAACAACGTGCTGGGAAAGCTGCGAAACCGTTAACGGTTGCTGTAAGGGGCAGGGTAGCTGGACCTGAAAAGAAACATAACGGGTGAATTTCAGGGGCAGGCGAAAGGTTGAGACGGTGGCGCCCATAACCCCGGATCGGGAAATGTAGAAGAAGTATTCTGGGAAGAAGAGAAAAAGAAAAAGAAAAAAAAAAGGTCCGTGTGTTAGGGCCCAAGGGAGTGGACTGCATCCGCATCGGGGAGTACTTTTTACAGTGAGCCGAGACCCTAGTTAGTAGCCGTGGAAAATTGTCCGACAGTGTGACGAGACGGCATAGGATTGTCGGCCACCTGTCCTTTTATTAATCAATGCCGTCGGTGTGAAGGATCAAGAGGGAAGCGGGCCGCCTCCAGCATCTCTCTTTAGACAGGTAATGAGGAAGGGCGAGCGCGTCGAAAGCCTGACCACATAGGTAATTTGGAGATTTGCACTTAGCGAGGGGCTGGGCACGTAGAGCCACAGGACTGATAGACACTACGAGGGAATGATGTGGTCTGCGATGTGTTCTCGGCGACGGCGACGTCGAGACGTCGAGGCACTAAAATGTGAGCGACGTTTGAAGTTTCCCCACGGAGATGGGCCGTTACACGTTTTGATTAGCCGCCGCTGAGGTAAGCGTACGACAGGGGAAGCGCAAACGAATGTCACACAGACACCACTTCTTTCTCCATCTCTGCCACCAAAACCGCACACCCTGGGATGCCTAAATATAGCATTATGACGTTATATATTCAGATCATATAGCTATTGATGAATATACTCTAACCAGAAGCACTCAAAGAGACTCGTGTACGAAATAGATTTTTCCTCTCCAGCTTTAACTACCTACGTTGTACACTACCTTAAGGTAGATCAATGGGAGACCGTCCATCGCTATGTAAGCAAAGTACTATTACACTAGTCCCAGAACAGTTTAGAGGAGTTTCGGGAAGAGACGTATCCGTCTCAGATCTGTTGCAGAGATGGTCTGGGGTTAGTGGGTCCGGTGCCTAGACGGGTACCTCTAATTTTAGCACTAAGATCTGCAGGTACGGGTTACGGAGTACATACAGGTTTGTAGTACCTGCAGCTCGGGACCATTGGTGCCAACCTCCGTGCACCGTTCGTCCTTATTATCTTCACCACCTAGCCATTATAACAGGAGTTTGGTCAGCAATTCTTTAGTCTTGACGTGTAAGACTTCACAGCCAGACACCCCCGGTACGAGTATAGCCGCTCCTATTTTGATGAAACGTACTGGTGCGAGATATCTCGAAGTCTCGTGGCGCGGTGTAACGGCCAGTGGGAAAATAGTCCCTGGATACTTTATTCATTTTATTCGTCCATAGACACTTTCCATGTCTACCTTATGGTAGCTGGCTGGGGCACGAAGTACGCTATCACTTATTATCACTAACTCTGCGACTTACGGTTCCTCCGAATTGCGACTTTGGCTGTCTGTGTGTAGCTGGCACGGCTACTGCTAGTGCCCGGAACCACGTGGAAGTCCAACTATGTATGGTTGGGTTTCTCGTCTCTCCTTATACAACTGGTTGGTGAAGTACGGGCCATTGTAACCGATTCAAACGCATTCTCCTCCGTTATTATAGGCTGGGCTCAGTCCGAATCTGGATTCCCCGCCAGTTACTAGTGAGTATAGGACGACGGGTTAGTCTGTCTTAATCTTATTTTCGTCGAGCGCATGACACACCAGGTCTGTTTTCTATGTAATTTGATTCGCGGACAAGAGAGCATAGTAATATTGTGTTATTGCACTTCGATCCAGCATTTCCATATTTTACCCATCCGATCGTTGCCTCGTCTAAGTGTTAGAACCGCCAAATTTAAGGCTAGAACCGTTGTTTTCAGTAGTTCTCTCCTCTAGCCCAGCTAGAATAGGCACTCCAGGACAGTCCGCAACCTATTCTTCAAAGCCGACGAACCATTTCCCTTCATACGTTGAGCAAAGTCGACAAGAATGTTGGGCATTAGTAAGAATAAAACGCAAAGTGGCCAGCCCCAACAAGATCCCAAATGACAACACAATTGATATGGAATGCGTTGCCGACGTCACAGCATGAGTTGGCTTTTCAAGAAGCACCTAAAAAGAGGACCACTTTGATTGTTGAGGGGGAGGAGAGTTGGAGGGGTAATTAAACTGGTGCACAAGAGAAGTGTCCAAGCGTCCTTCAATATCGGCGAGTCCGGGCTCGAGAGGGCGGGGGCCAACCGAAGCAGAACAACGGAACAAGAAGTCCCACTTCCATGGCAGACGGTATTTGCAATGGGGAATTATCACCTACAATGCATGAAAATTGCCCAACTCCCTGGACCCTGGCTCCTCGACAGCCAGCTTCAACGATCTATCTATGCGTTTTCCCGCAAAATGCAGTGCAGATCGCAGCTCGTATAGGGTCACAATCCCGCAAGGCCCCCCACGTCTTGTGGTCCCTCGAATTCGCATCTAATATCGATTCTGACCTATTCGTACGCGATGCACGGTATGCCATCAACATCGGATGGGTTGTCACAGTCGCAAGATTGGATCAGATGGAAGTTGATTTCCTTATGGGAAATCACCCCCAATACAGCAGGAAACGTGCCAATCCATCTTTGCTCATCATGCTCAGGGACACGCGGCGAGAGACGGGTAGATCTTTCGCATCATCGACTAAGCTGGTTGGCAGGACGGATCTACCGCCATGACATCCTCGTCCATGTGGTAATTCAGCAGAATTCTCTCAGAGGAAGGAATGCGGGGTCTAGAACCCTAGACCTCCCTTGTTCATCTGAATTTGACCAAACGTCTGTGTGGCAATGGCAACATGGGACGTCAAAAAATAATCTCAGGTAACTCCTGGGCTGTCATGCATTGGCATTCACTGGGGCCACCCGCTATTCTGGTACGGTTAGACACCGGTCCTATAGAGGCATGTGACTATGCTTGGATAAGACATCCTATCGCCTCCGTGGTCAACCAGGGTGTTACCAGGATGATATATTAACAGTACAGTACACAATATATCAGGAGCATAGTTGGTTATCTATCGAAAGGGCTCTCAACGTCAACACTGTAGGCGTATGATACGGGACAGATTGTCTTTATATTCGATATCTACTCGCACAAGATGCCAGCATAACCTGGGATAAGACTCACTTCTCTGTCTGCTGGCGCAAAAAGACTGGTACTCCTGCCGAGAGCTGGCCGGCCTGAGAATCCACTAAAGGCTTCAACAGTCGTCCAACGCCCAGGCGCTTGAGCCCACGGCATCCTATAATTGTGAAAGGTCAGAAAGACTCGATATATATATCCCGCATAGTCCACTGAGTGTTCTATCTGAAGCGCTGGGCTAGTAAGTATATCGCCTTGTTCCGCGGAATTTCCGTGTACATAACCATAATCTCATGCACCTACTAATTAATCGTGATTGCCTCCTCACGTGTAACCCCGAGAGTGAGTATCTGTTGACCCAGTCTAACTCTCTATTCACCCCAAACGCCTCTTCGAGTCGGTGCAATGAATGTTCCATAGTCACTTTCTTTGATCACTGAAGTGGTCATGTGAGATTGACAACGCAGGGGGTTGAAAGAGTATAAAATAAGGTATGAAGTTCCATTTTCCTGTAGTAAACAACCAGTCATAGAGATGTAGGTCACGATATAGACACATCGTATCCCACATCCCACGACAGGAATTTCGCGTGTCCTTAGAATCGAGTTGTTGTGTAGGGGCTGAGATTTGAATGAAGCACGCCTAGCCATGAAATAAAAGTGTTTATCGACTTGTCAAACAGTATTAACTTGCAAAATTAGAAAAATGCAAACAACGACAAGCCTGGGGGGCGGGCAGTCTCGCCGGAGGCAGTCAACTTCCCAGTGAATTGTATGCAAAGCAAACCTCCAGAGGTTGACGATATTGTGGATTACCATTGGCTAACTTAATGCCCAAGCACCAACTACGGAATCACTACTTGTCGTTCAACTTTCGCCATACCTCGCTCTCTGCAGCTGCCAGATTCTTCCCAGCGGTCCGAGCCCACCTCTTCGCTGTGTCCCATACGCCGTCGTCGTCCTCGTCCATGAAACTACCCTGTTCTGCAGTCCCCATCGAAGCATTGTGCCCGCTTGGTTGATAATTCCTGAAGCTATCCGAAGCAACGCTTTGTTGGTAACCCGGCGGGTGAGAATAATCGTTTCTCGATGTGCTTCCCAGATTGACCGGAACAGGCCTAACCAACTGAGGTGTGTTCGTCGATGTACCCGAGCCTAGCCGAGTGGAATACGAGGTTGTCGGAGGCGGCATCGACATCTGCGCTGGGAATGGAACGCTGGCCGTAGATGCAGGCGTTGGTTGTGGAGGCTGGTATATCTCTCCCACCCTTGGAGGCGGGGGGACCTTGGTGCTTCCAGGAGGAGTTGGAACGGCTCCCGGCTGCGGAGGCGGAGGTCCGGTGTCATTTTGCTGCTGGGTTCGCGTGGGAGGAGGAGGAGGCGGTGGTGATGCTTGTGCGGTGCTAGTCGGTGCAGGTATGGCTGGCCTGGCGCCAGGCTGTGCGGGTGGATATGGTTGAGCGCTGGTCGGGGAGAGTTCTGGCCCCGTCAGCCTGATAGAACCAGCTTGAACTGGTTGAGCCTCCGAGTTTGCTGTCTTAGGAGTTGTCCCCTGTGCTTTGGCCGCGTTTATCGGGCTCGAAGTGTGGATGGGTATAGGAGGCATTCTGGTGTTTTGACGAGACAGAGTTGTATGCGTTGGATGAGTTTGGGCACTCAAAAAGAAAGCTGGCTAGCTATGAGGAGCTCCACGATCAGATACAGTACTGTCAATCGTTAATACACAAAGTTCAAAGTGGTAGTGACGGGGAGCGACTCTCCGTCACACTATGGGTTGAGGGCCAGCGAGGACCTCATGAGAATGACGTCACAGGATTGATATAACCTCCACCAACAAATGCAAGATGATGGACCCGAGAGTACACTCGCCAGAAACGAACTTACTATTGAAAATTACGATCAGAGAGAAGTGAAAAACTCGGAACACAACCAAGCCAAGGTCTCGGAAAGAGTTGTAGGGCGAAACCTGTTGAACGCGGAGTAGGTAGAGGAAGTATAGGGTAATATGTGAAAGCAAAAGTGGGGTTGTGGACAGTACAGATGGTTTAAAATATGCACTGTATACGTATATGCGTTCCCTGATGCCAACCCTCCCCCCCCCCCCGGGGGTTTGTCAGCTTGCTTTTCGGCAGGGAAAAATAAACTCCCGTATAAGGCGCGGCACCATTCCTAATATGGACTAATGTGAACGACCCAGCAACAGAGATGCGGCAGAATGGATCCCTGTGAGCAACCAGCATGAGGAAGGAGACGGCTGCAATTGCTTTGTGGGGGAACACTTTTGAAATCTCCCAGCTTGTCGCCTCATGGCCAGTATCCAATGCTCATACTACACCCCATCCGACTGACCCCCCATCGTACCCCTCGACGGACATGGTCGGCAAAGTCAGCGAGAGGGTCCTCCTCCGGGAGGGTAAGTAATCCGTCAATCGATTCCTTTGCTGCATTTTCAATTCCATTCGATCCCCTTGCCATTTGCCCAGCCCATAGGTTGTTCGACCAACGCTAACGTGATTGCAACACAGGCCTAGAAAGAACCGACAATGGCATGAAACAGTCGAGCTGGCCGGATGTCACTCCCATCAATCAGAAGAATTACTATACGTACGTGAAACAGCATCTGCTGTGGATCTGCTGTGATCCCCATCCTCCCTTCCCAGAACTCATGCTCACCCTCGGGGGATACCCAGTGATTACATGAAACGCGATGATCAGACTCTTGCCCTTCGACTTCAAGGCGATGCTACTCGCGACCGGCTCGTGCAAACAGCAAAAGACCGTGATCGCGCTCTCGCCCGCAGCGGCAACGCCGAAGTTCCCTTGATCATACCCGAGCTTCACGGCGAAGATGGCCCGTCGGAGACCTCGGGCGGCACAGATGCGTCCAAAATCATCGTCATTCACCCTGGCAGCCAGAATCTACGCATCGGGTTTGCCAGCGACGCGCTGCCCAAGACGATCCCCATGGCGCTTGCCACGAAGTTCCCTCAGACGGAGTCGGAGATGTACGAGGCCTTGCCGCGGCGCCAGTTCGAGGCCAAGACAACAGAGCAGCAATATGGCGAGGAGTGGTCCAAGAAGTACACAAAGGTGTGCAACGACCTAAAGACTGACATGCGCCAGAACAAGCGCAAGGTGTTGCCCAACTCGAAGGAACTGGTGCTCAACTACAACCGCCGCTCGGAACCCGACGTCATCCCTCAGCACAACGATCCCCTGCAAATCGAGTGGACCGATATCCATACTCTCGATGACCCCGAGTCGCCCGCATCATGCTTCATTGGCAACCAAGCTCTGCGAGTGCCCGACGATTCGCAGCCCAAGTTCAAGCTTTGGTGGCCCATTCGCCACGGGTGGCTCAACGAGGACGAATACACGACGGCTGAGCACCTTCACGACGACCTGGAAACGCTTCTCGATAAGGCTATCCGTCAAGAACTCGGCCTGACGAAAAGCAGCACCTGGCGACAATATAGCTGCGTCTTTGTCATCCCCGATCTGTATGACAAGAAGTATGTGGAGCAGGTGTTGAAGTCATGCGCGAACTGGTTCGAGTTCAACAAGATATGTTTCATACAAGAAAGCATGGCGGCCACGTTCGGGGCAGGATATACGCAAGCATGCGTTGTGGACGTGGGTGCGCAAAAGACGTCCGTCACGTGTGTCGAGGACGGGCTTTGTATCGAGGATTCACGCATCAACCTGAAATACGGCGGCTACGACGTGACGGAGGCGTTTATCAAGATGATGCTCTACGACAATTTCCCCTACCAAGAGATCAACCTCCAACGCCGATACGATTTCCTCCTCGCCGAGGAGCTGAAGATCAAACATTGCACAATGTCCCAGGCAGATATATCGGTGCAGCTTTACCAATTTCATGTTCGGGCACCGAACAAGCCCACTCATAAATACCAGTTCAAGACATACGACGAAGTCATACTGGCTCCGATGGGCTTTTTCGACCCGGACATCTTCGATAACAGCACGAAAATCAGAGGGCGGCGGAAGCTGCTCGACCGCTCTTACAACGCGTACGATGTCGACGTCCCCGATGACCCTACCTCGGCCGCACAGTTCGCCATCCTGGCGCTCGTGAACCCGTCCCTGAATGCCGCGACAGCAGCAAATGGTCCCTCTCAGTCTGGCCCCTCTCAGTCTGGCCCCTCTCAGTCCCTGGCCGACGTGTCTACTCCTGTGAAAGAGAAACTGCAGCCGTTCGATAACCTGAAGCGAGGTGAAAGCGGGTTGAACGGCACACCTTCGGGGTCGAAGGCGCCGTCACCGGCCCCCGAAGGTGGCAGCACCCCCGTGCCTCCACCATTCATCTTTACTGCCGGCAAGGACGGCATCGGCGGCGGTAGTCCTGCACCCAGCCTCAGTGCTCGTAACGGCGGCGGCGGTGGCACACCTGCACCGTCAGCCTCCCAACCTCCCCCCCCCGGCATTTCCGTCGAGGCGGAGGTGAAGAGCGCCAAGGCGGTTGCGATGGAGCGGGACGGCGTGCTCCCCATCGCGCCGCTGGACCTGGCGATCCTCACGAGCATCCACAACGCCGCTAGGGGCGACGATAAGAAGCTTCGCGACTACCTCGGCAGCATCATGGTCATCGGGGGCGGGGCGAAGGTCCCGCAATTCACGGCGGTGCTGGAGGAGAAGCTGAAGGCCCGGCGGCCGGATCTGTTGGAAAGGATCCTGGTGAGCAGGAGCGCCAGGGATATGGACGAGCAGGTGGTGGTGTGGAAGGGGGCCAGCGTGTTTGCGAAGCTTCCGACGAATGATTCGTGGATCACGCCGTTTGAGTTTGAGAGGCTGGGGTCACGGGTTCTGCATCACAAGGTGCTCTGGGCGTGGTAAGAACAGAAGAAACGATTTTTTCTTTTTCGTGTGTAGGATAACATGTTCTACTCTGTATGATACCACTTCATAACTGGCGTTGACGATTAGGTATACATGGCTGCTTTAGAGGGGACAGATGCATGGGCGTTGGTTCCGGTAATATACTAGGTAGTGTTTATGGTTTCTTTTGAGAACGAAGCTGTGAGAATTCCTGTACTGGGGCAACTGTCCAAGATGTCCTGTTGTCATTCCTGCTGCTACCACCGCCATACATTAGGTACCGTATCCACTGGGGTGGTTCAGTAAGGTACGTGTACCTTTTCGGGCCAAGTACGGAGTACGGAGTACAGAGTACTCAGTTCCGATAAGGTACCTTACCTTATTCGCTTTGTTGTTGTTGTACAGAAAGCAATGGATGATGCGCACGCTCCCCCCTCTACTCCCGTAATATTACTTCGTATCCGTACCTCACCCAGTCAATTCCTTAACATAGT